AAGGTTATGTCTTAAATTTTTCCATTCCTTTTCACCCATTCACCACCACTGACCCCGATCCTCCCGGCAGAAGTGCTTGCTAGCAAGGACGCCGACTCCGCGTCTCGGACAGAGTAGGGCCTCTGTAAATTGTGTTGGTCTACAGATGGTCCCGAGCCGCAGTGCGAAGGACACTGTTTTAAGAGAAAAGCAGATGGGGTAAGACAGGAAAGGACACCCCTGGAAATAACAGCACTGTGGTGTGACCACGGGTTTGGATGCCGAGAGGTCATGGGTCCTAATCCTAAATGCATTTCCCAAGACACAGTGGCAGAATTGAATGGAAAAATGCTAGAGAGAGCCCTTTTGTCGTGTTTTCATTCACTTGTCCATCAGCTATTCTTTACACGTGTGCCTCCAGTGTGCTGGGGGAGACACCGAGACAGGCCAGTGCTGCAGGCAGACCCTGAAGGGTTTCTAGCCTTGTTGCTGCAGTGAGACACATCCGTGAACAGCCCTCCGCGTGCTGGGGCGGTGGCCGGTTCGGTTGGAGAGAGACAGGTCCCGGTGTGGGCAGGGCAGGCGGGGAGAGGTGGCTTCCACTCTGGAGCCACGAAGGTCCCCTAGAAAAAAGATGGCACTGCAGCCAGGCCTTTACAAGCCATGTAGATCGTAGCCAGTGGAGATTGGTGGGGGAATGTCCCAGCATTAGGGACAACGCCAACAATGTCTCAGAGACCAGTTTGGCACATAAGGTACGTGTTGGGCATGTGCAGTCCTGCTTGAAAAATATAGGTTGGGGCCTTCTTGGAAAGGTTTTGAATTCTAAGCTGAATTTCTGTTTTGCTCAGTAAGGAGTTGATGAAGGTTTTTGACCAGACGCATGCTTTAAGATGGTGAGTCTGGCAGCCTCGTGACCGTGGGGAGAGCAGTTTCTATGATGTGGTGGGAGCCATGGCCAAAACCCGGTGAGGTGAACAGTGACCAAGTGGTGAGTAGGAGTTGCCGTGGAGACCGGACAGCTGCTCCGCCGCCGCTAGGAGTGGCGGCGCTGGGCCCTGGAGGAGGAAGAGGGCGCGAGGTAAAGGGGAGCGCGTGAGTGACAGGAACACAAACTCTTCCTGTGCTGTTCTGAGTTCCTGGGGCTCTGGGCCAGCTCTTACGGGTTACGGAAGGCTCCTTGTTGTTCTTCCTGTGTTCCTTTCCTGAACCAATGGCTTTGCACAAAACGATCCTAGAAGATGCCTGTCACTTTAAAATGTTGTACCGAGCCCTCGGTCACGTGCCTTCAGAAATTGTGGTTACATAACATTGCTCTGAACTGGAATTCTGCAGCCTCATGAACGGGAGTCTCCCTCCCCCACCTGGCACTTCATTTTCTGTGGGTCAGGGTTAGCTTCTTTCTAACCATTGTTGCGGAACTCTTTAAATATTTGGTCTCACAGGTTCTAAAAGCTGGCAGGCCAGCCTGCTCCCTGCAGGTTGTGAGCCCAGAGCCTTCCAGCAAAGGAGCCAGTAAAATCCGAAGCATGTTAACAGAGTGTAACAGCTGCCCAGCGCACTGCCCGCGGGGCCAGGCTCCCAGGTGCTGAGGCCAGCAGCTCCCAGCCGCGGTGGCCCGCGACCAGGAGGAGCCCTCAGGCGCCACATCATGGCCGGGCCGTAATTGTGGCGATGACAACAGATTAAGTCACTGGCTCTCAGCACTGAGGACTGGACTTCGTCAGGGTCACTCACTGTTCCCTTGCTTCTCCCAAATTTCCATAGCGAGAGACAACTTGGAGTCCGCTGCCACAGCCCACATACTTGTCGGGAGCTCCGCGGTTTGCCCGGCCTAGCAGCTGGTTTCCTTGGTAGCCCATACTGAAGGTTTTCCTCCCTTCCCGCACCCCCTCAACATGCTAGGCATTTACTTGATACTCTGCGTTTAAAAATATTGTTTAAGGCAGCTTGCAGTAACACATTTAATGCAGTTAATTTTTTAAAATTAGGATATGGGGCAGAAGGAATATATACGTAGAAAAATTAGGCACAGCCAGGATAAAGGTTAGTTCACCAAGTTCAGACTAAAAATAAGATCCTTTAGCGGCAAGACACAAATGTTTTGAGTTTCCTGACAGCCGAAGCAGAGAGGGCGATCTGGAAAGGTGAAATCCCCACGCTGCAAGGTACGAACAAGCCGGCCGCAGACAAGAAGAGGGGTCCTGGCACTGGGCAAGCTTCCCTCGGAGAGGGGGCGCTGAGCCACGAGACGGGCCAGGCCCCGTCAGCATCCCTGCAGTGAACCGTGCAGCCATTTCGTTGACTTCTTGCAGTGGCCCTTAGGGTAGGCTTGGTGACAAGGTGCCATGTGGGACAAGGACTCCGTTGGCGGCTTGTGCAGCGTGTTTCCATACAGTTCATCACTTCTCGAAGGGTCCTGGCCTGGGGGGCCTTGCATCTGGGACAGTCTCTGCCATTAAAAGTGCCCAGACCAAACGAGTCTGGCAGGAACTGTGCAGTACCAACACACCGAAGGCTCTGAGAAGTCCCACGGAGTGGTGACGGAAGGAGGCTTGACCTGGGACGGCGAGCACCCGATACGGCGGTCGGATTTTGCATTATAGAACTGTGCCCTTGAAACTATGTGTTTTATTAACCAGCGTCACTCCGATTGCTTCAATTAAAAACAAAAACAAAAACAAAAGTCCTACAATTAAGAAATTGGCTCAGCATTTCCCAAACTGATTCAATCACAGGACCTTTCTAAAACATCGAATACTTACTGGGATATTGGGGAAGCGCTGATTTAAAACAGGGGTCAGCAAACTTCCTGCTAAGGGCCAGGTAGAGAGGGTCTAAGCAGCCAGTCCTGTCATAGCCACGTAACTCGGCCGCTGTACCGAGAACGGGTGGTGATTGATGTGCCGGTAGAGCTTCGTTTGTGGAAACCGAAACTTGAATGTCAGATAGTTTTTACATGTCATGAAGTATTCTTCTTTTGATTTTTTTCCCAGCCATTTCAAAATGCAAAAACCATTCTCAGCTTGCAGGCCATTCAAAACAGGTGGCAGGCCCCATTTGGCCTGTGAACTATAGTTTGTCCACCCCCGATCAAGCATAATGTTTTGATGGTATGTTTTTTCCAACAAACTTTCCTGATGAGTGTTCCTCAGAGTTGTTTTAATTTAGATTTTTATGTTTCTGGTTTAAGAGTCCATTTTTTTTTAAGTAGAAAAGAATTGGTTTGAGTACTTACAGTTTAGTCTAAGATTTTTCTCATTTCATGGGTCCTCTCAAAGAAGATGTGGACAAACTAAAACTTGAAGCCTTTTAGTTTAGTTTTACTCTGTTATATATGACTGGATCAGTATGAAGCTAGAAATATTTTATTTATTTTTAATTTTAAAAAAAGATTTGTATTTATTTACTGTTTAGAGAGAGGGGAAGGAAAGGAGAAAGAGAGGGAGAGAAACATCAGTGTGTGGTTGCCTCTGAAGCGCCCCCTACTGGGGACCTGGCCCACAACCCAGGCCTGTGCCCCGACTGGGAATCGAACTGGCAACCCTTTTGTTCTCAGGCGGGTGCTCAAACCATTTAGCCACGCCAGCCAGGGTGAGACTGGAAATATTTTAGTGGGAATTACCATTCATTCATAGAAATAAAAGTCTCAAATCACCCAGACATTTAATTGTAAGAAAACATTTCTTCCTAGCCAACTCTGTAAGTAAATCAGTAAACTGTGGTCCTCCCCCCACTCCCAAGATAAGAGTGTTCTTTTTTATTTTGGCTACAGGGATGTTTTTCCAGCTTCTTATGATATCATTATGATGAAAGGAGGAGGACCAAACTATTCCTGCCACCAAGTCTGACATTTCAGTTCCAGTTCAGCAAATATTATCGAGTGCTCAGTGCATATGAAGCAGACAGTTTCTTCTTTACCTTGTGAATCAGGGTCAAGATTCTCACAATTTAGAGCCCATTACTGCTGTGTCTGGATCAATTGCACCTCCCTGTCCCATCCTGTCAGCATTCATTCATTCATTCATTCATTCTGTAAACACTTGAGAGTTGCAGGCGATGTTCCTAGCACTAGAACACAGCCTTTGGTGACCTGCTGAACACCCCCGTCTCCAGGCCAGTGCCGGGGGAGGAAAGGGCAGAAGGGATGGAGAGCTGGGGCCAGACTCTGCCCTGATCTGTAGGTATTTACATGCCAGGAATGGCCGGGCTGGGTGGGGCGTGTTATTTGAGAAACTCTAAAGCGGAAAGAGAATGGCTGGGCATTTCACAGAGTACAGGTGACGTGCGTGGGGACAGTGAGGGAAGATACATGTCTGGTGATGGGACATGGAAACAAACTGTGATGAGGACGATTTCCAAGCAGAATTGCATTACAGCTAACTGTATGGCTTCAGGTGTTTTGCAAAACTTATTCTTGGGTCAGAAAAAGTTAGGTGATTCAGTTTTGTAAAAGGCAAAAGAGTTATATGATCCGAAGAGAAACCAGCGTATAGGTAACTTATTTTTTAGCACACCCCTCTTTGGGGAGGAAGGAGAAGGAGCAGTAAATCGTCCTCATCCAGCTCCCTGCCGTGAACCCGGGGAAGGCGGGCAGGTCTCCATCCGCCGTCGCGGACGGACGAGCGAAGCAAAAGGAAGAGCTGGCCGTTGGGGAGTGATTTACGGAAGAGACCTGCCGCTCTGGTGGGCCGGCGCTTCTGGGGAAGCCTCGTTCGTGGGTGCTGCCTCGCTCCCGCCTTCTCACCCCTGTTCCCTTCAGAGCCCGGGAGAAGCAGGTGCACAGGGAGAAGGGGACAGTCACTCAGAGGCAGCACGGAGCCTTGTCGTCCCCCGCAGTGTCCTCCCCCCAGTCTCACACTTTACCGAAGATCCCCTCCTCAGAGAGACGCGGTGGGAGTTTCTCTTCACTTTGCCTACCATTTGCACATTGTCCAAATAACCGTTCTTTAAAGCTATGCTGCATTGAGTAGAGTTTCGTTGTTTGTGGCATCACTAATTATTTCTTCAATCTTTCCTAGAAAGGACTGTATCTTCACCATTGACCCATCAACCGCCCGAGACCTTGATGATGCCCTCTCCTGTAAGCCACTTGCTAACGGTAGGTTAGAGATTTCGGTTCCATTCTGGGTGGCGGACCGTGTGCCTAGCTTGTGGGCGGCCTGGCTGCCTTGTGCTCCCCGGGCGGCGTAAGGTGCAGGCTTGGGTTTGCCTTGTTCCTGAACTTGTCAGAAGCCACTGAGGCTGCGCACATGTGTGGCCTAAGGATTGTGCTCCTGTGGTGACTTTGGTGAGGGTGAGAGATGTCCTTTCCGCAGAGCAGGGTCTCCGGTGGCCTTAGAGCAGGCAGCAGAGAGGGCAGAGGAACTGACGTCAGGCCTTGGCCCCCTGGCACTTTTCCAGTTTGGGTATGATGTGTTTGAACACAGGGGGCAGACACGAGGCCTGCGGGCCAGTCTGGCCCTCCACCTGGTTTTATCCGGTGGGCACCTTCTTTGTGCCCACCTTGTTTGGGCACCCCGTGGCAGCACCGAGCTTTTTGCCGCTAGTTAAGGAGTAGCTAGTTACACTTATACAGCCCTAAGGGTTACATTCGGCCCTTTGAAGGCAACCGCGAGGCTGATGTGCCCCGCCCCCCTGAAAATGAGTTTGACACCCCTGTGTTAGAAGAAGGCCCTGGAGGGCTCTCTTCTATGTTGGGAGAAACACAGGGCTCTCTTCCTGCACTTAACTGTGGATGGGGTGAATCAAGGGGCGGGGCTCTCCAGAGGCACGCGAGGCAGGGGGTGTTAGGAGCACCTCCCCTGAGGATTGCTCCTCCCGTGAGCTGGAGAAGCCCGTGCTCCTCCCAGGAGGCCTTCCTGTACCCAGCAAATTGCAAAAGGGAGCTGTCAGGGGCTCTTTCTACTTTCCTTCGGGATGGAGCTAAGCAGGCAAAGGCGGGATTTGAGGCCAGCAGACTTTGAACACTACAGCAGGGAAAAAGGAAAGTGTGGGGGTGTGAGAAGAGCAAACCCTATCAACCCCCGGTTTCATTTCTTCCCAGATATGCGTCTCTCTAGGGTGGCAGCGCCTGGGTGACGTTCTCGGCTTCAGTCATCCTCAGTTACGGCTTTGGTTCCAATGTGGCCTCGGACGGCTTGCCCGGGGTGGGTATCCGCTCTGTGGTTCTAGCAAGCAGCGAAGTGTTGATTGCCAAGTGGCTTAGTCTTTCTTAAAACATTGCAGAGGTGTTTACATATTCCTCTCACATAAAACAGCGCGGGCGCAGCGTCTGATCTCCTCTCGACTGCAACAGGCCGTGGAGCTGGCAGAGAGGGGCAGGGAGAGAGGGAGCACCACTGCCTAGAGGTGCGTTTGTCTTCTGTTAGAGGGAGTCCTCCTTGGAACTAGGGGCAAGACAGGTCAGTATTTTCAACTGACGGAAATGGAAAGGAAGATAAAACATAAAGAGAAAAATCCCCAGGGAAATTTTTGAGGAATTGTCTATTTTTAAAATCCAGAATGTGAACACCCTGATTAAAAAGGCAAATACCGTGTTGGTTTCTTACGCCTGGAGCTGTGTCTGCTGCGTGCAGAGGCCGTCGGTGTGAGCCCGCCCCCCTGAGCCCTGGCGTGGAACGTGCCCCCGGGCAGAAAGCGCGTCTACAGTGGGCCGCCCTTCCCACACTCCCGCCTCCCAGGTGCACAGCCCCGCCGTGGGTGGGTGAATGCTCGCAAACAGCTGCCTCACTTGCTTTGCCCCCTTTCATAGTTGCTCATGAGAGGGACAGGTCTAGTACCTGTTACCCCATCACAGCCGGCCCGGTGGTACTGGCCTTGCAGGGCGGAACCCAGGGGCCCGGCCTGTGTCTGCCCCTAGTTTCCCGTGCGCCCGATCACTGCAGAGGTTTCCGGTAGGGCAGAGATGACAGGTAGGGCAAGGAAGGTAGACTGGGGACAAGATGTGTATTTTTGTAACCGAAGGATCTACTTTGCCAGACAGTCCAAAATCTATTGTTTTCAATCTGTGGTTTAGGGAGAACAGTGAAAATGAGGAAAACAGCTTATTGTCACAAGACGAAGGACGAGGAGAGGAAGTAGAGGCAGAGAAACGAGTTGGAGAAGCTCCGGCTTGTGATTGTTTGGGGCTGTAGGTGGGTAGTGAGGAGCTGGGGCTGGGGAGGCGGGACGAGAGAGAGGACAAAGGGCATGTCGGCGGGGATGGGTGTCGGGGTTCAGGGAGGGGAGTTCCAGGCGGGGCTCAGGCTTCAGCCTGGAGGGCGAGGAGGTGGAACCCGCGAAGACGGGAGTCAGGCTGGCTTTGGAGAGAGTGCGTCCACACGGAGCCGTCTGGCCGGTGACCGGGGTGTGCGCGGGCTGCTGCAGGCCCTTTTCGGAGGCGGTGGGGCACGGGTGCGCCACACACACGGGGTCCGCGGGGCTCTGTCCGGGAGCCCTGAGGGAGGGCAGACAGTGCACCAAATGCAAGCAGCGATTTCACTGGGATGGTGGGGTCATAAGTGATTTTTCTATTTTCTCTAGTTCCCAAGTTTTTATAACGTGGTAATAATAGTTTTATAATGAAAAAAATTTTGTAATAAAAAATATTATGAGGTGCCAGAAATCCCGGGGCTGCCGAGTAGCGCACTGCACCAGGTGACTAGATACCTTCCATCTGCTCGGCTGTGCTTGCATTCCAGAGGAGTAGTCAACATCTGGCCACTTGGCAGAGCGGCAGGGAGGGACCAGGGACGGGGTCAGGGAGGAGTCTGCAAAGGCCCGAGCTGGTCAGTCAAGTGTTTTTATGGTGGCACTTCTGCAGTTGGCCTTTGTGACAGCAGTTTCTGCCAAGGCCATTTATCCAGGGAGCTGAAAAGTAAAAGTTCCAGTTTGGATGGAGGTGAGGTTGGCTAGGTTCAAGTTCTGTTACCAGTTCATGTCATTTCTTTCTTAGAGGAAAAAATGTTTAATGTTTCAAAGAGCAAATAATGTTTTCTGGCCATATTTACGTCATCTATAACCATTTTATTTATTTCTTTATTGAGTTTATTAGGGTGACATTGGTTAATAAAATTGTATAGGTTTCAGGGATACAATTCTATATATAAACTTTTCTTTGTGCACAGTGAAATCATCTGAACGACTGTTCTGTGCAAATAGAAGACGCAGACGGATGTAGCTGATCTAGTCCTCACTCTCCCTTTCTGCAGACTCCCGATGTAGCCACAGGGCTTGTTGCTGGTGTCTCCCGTAGGTCCGAGACTGAGACCCTGACTGTACCGCCCGCAGATAAATTCAGCAGAAACACAGGGACCCCCGTTCTCCGGTGGGTCCTGATGAGGTTGGAAGGCTGGGGGTGGGGTGGGGGGCATGTCCCTACCTTGGAGGAATCTCAGCCTCGGAAGGATCCTCCCAGTCGTCTGTCCAGCCTGGTAATGCTCCACCTCTGAACACACCTGAGTGGAACGCTCCCGTGAGCATTCCGCAGCCTGCGGCCACGAACACGGAGTTTTTCACTTCGCTCCAGAGAGTGCTTCACAATGGAAGTAAACAGCGGTGTTACAGTGGTAACCCCCAGTCTAACTACGGTAAATCACACACTTCGGTTTTATGGCTCTAACAGGTCGCTTGTAAGACGCCCCGCAGTTGACCTCACCAGTCAAGTGTGGGAGTGCCACAGTTGCCGCATCACCTTCTGTTTTTCAGATTGCCTCTACTGCATCCACTTACTCAATGTCCAGATTGCATTTTAATGCTCTCCCTTACGGGCAGCCCATTTGGCCTGAGGATTGCGTGACTAAGGAAACCCTCCCCTGTAATGACCTGAAGTGTTGCTGTCTCCCTGTAATTTTCCACCCGTGAGTCCCATCTATGCCCCTGGTGGCCTACACAACAAGTCTCAGCTCTCAGGCAACAACCCTTCAGATACCAGATAACAGTGATTGCATGTTTCCAAGTCACAGCTTCTCAGCTGAGCACCCTGTGTATTCTTCTGTGCCCTGCAGTTCTGGAAGTTTGAGCCCATTTCCCCGTGCCATGGCGTTCCTTCTGCCTCTACAGGGTCAGAGGCACCTCACTGTCCGCATCCAGACGTCTCCTCGCCGGTGGCCAGGGCACGGTGACTCTCCCAGCCAGTTCCTCCCCGCCGGGCTGGCAGAGTCTGGAGTGATACCACCCGTTCTGTTGGGATAAACCCGCATTATGCTTTGCTCCGGTCTCCGAGAGAGGAAACGGTTAGCCAGATGAGGGAGGGCCTCCCTGCGGCGTTCAGCTGTCCGGGCTTCCAACAGATCCTGCACAGAACTGGTGCCTACCACTCCTCTCCTGTCTTACTTCTCTGATGTTTTCCCCTCTAATGATGCATTGCCGCCGAGCATGTCAGGATCACCCTAGAAATGAAGGGCTGGGGGGCCAAGGAGAGGGGAGGATGGGCAATGCCTGCCAGTGGGCGCGGGCTTTCTTCTGGGAGTGACGGAGTGTTCTGGAATCGGAGTGTTGTTGGTTGCACAGCTTGGTCAGCGTACTGAAAACCGCTGAGTGGGATGAGTGTAGGGGTGAATGAAGAAGAGCAAATGAACAAATCACTCATCCCGAGGCTTTCGGAAACTGGAATTTACACCTCAGTCACAGCCTAGGGGCAGACCGGATGGAGTGCCTGGGCTGGACACCCGCAGTGACCTGACGTCCCCCTTCTCTGTGTCCCCCTCCTTGCTGCGTCCGTGTCTGAACCAGGGAGCACAGCCCTCTGTCCGCAAATAGGGGCCACTGCTCATGTTTCCCTTCCCCAAAGAGCACAGCAATCTGACTCGAAAGAAGGAAAGGCCGGTCCCACCGTCCAAATATAAGAAGTGACCAGATAAACAGACACCATCTAACCCGAGGACACAGGTGAAAACACCTGCTGAATTAATGAGTTAATAAACTTTCGATACTGAATATAAGAGAAGAATCTAAAGTGTCATCTAGGTTCCTGGCTTGGACACGGGGTGGAACGCAGTGCCGCTCAGCAGGGCATGTGGAGGGAAGCCCGTGTGTGAGGGGGAAGGTGGCAAGTTCGGAAAAGCGCGTGTTGGGTTTGCGGTCCCTGGGAGGCACCCAGGTGGGAGTCCCGGGGGGGCC